GAGACATATCTCTTTAGAGCTGTGAAGAGTTTCAGAAGTTATATGTTGAAAATGTTATCTGGGTTAGGTTTGATTACTTTTCCATTCCGATTTGGGATGTAAATCATATGATAGATGTAAAGTATTTGACTTATAAACAAGATACATATTTGTTACGATAGCGGAGCTAATGTCGAGACATTTAAAATTTGTAAAAAAATATGGCCAGTACGTTTATATTTATATAATTGTTCGTGTAGATATTACAAAACAACAAGGCTTTAACTAGTTATGTACGACTGCTTATGACGATTGGCAGAACATATGAAATCAACAAATGGTCCATGTTTACCATATGAATAAAAATGTATTTCGGACATATAGTTAATTCTCGGATATAAGTACCAAAACTGGTCCAGGCACATAAGTGCCCTTATTCCATAAGTAAATTGTACTGGTAAATAGTTGTGAGATTTTTAACATGAGCAGTTGTCGATAACGAACCATTTTTAACTCAAAGTCATGAGGTTCTACCTCTACAATTTATAATAACTTGTGTAACTTGACATTCTCACTAAAATAATTAACCTATTATGTAATATATGTAATATGTGCGTTATAGAAGGAATTCGAATATAATAGAATCCGCATGCATGTGTAACGTACCTTGAAGTGCAAGATAACCAAATTCGATAAATTAACACATGGCACGTTCTTTAGGCAGTATACGCGTTATTTAAGGGGAAAAACTACGTGTTTAAGGGTTCGCGTTTTTTTTTACGATTCTTGCACTTTTTCTTGCACCTCAACAAAGTTATATTTTTACTAAGTTTTTATACCATGACTTCCGAACAAAAATATCCCGGATACAAAGAACTTACGTCTTATTTGACGCGAAGCAGAGACAAATCTTTTTGGGGCTTTCTCCGCCTTTGTCGAGACGTGGCTGTTACCTCTGCTACAGCTACTTCCCGCTGGCGCGACCTTGACGAGTCTTGGCGCTCTCACTTTCTAGCAGAAGCAGAAGAGTTATTAAATCCAAGTGACTTTAATAACTTGGAAAACCAGGTGTGTTTTTTTTTATTTTACAAAGAGAGGGTAACTCCTAGTAGGTCGCTGGTCTACTCAGGAGAACTACTGGGTATGACAACTTGGGTAACCAGCCCCAGGTTCTCTATTCGGGCGCCCTAACTTTGTCGTTGGTAAAGGTCTGCGGATTCCGGAGGAGGAATCGGTTATGTGTCTTCCTTTTGGGGCATGCCGTTTATCATCTGATTTCTCTATACTATAGGGTTCGCCCTAAACCATTTGATTTTTGGCATGCCCTTATCACTAAATACAAAATTACACACTTAATAGAAAATTACCACTGTTAACATTGATAAATGCTTTTTTACAATAGGTCAGCTTGGATCGAAAACGTTATAACTTCGAAACTTATTGGAACGAAGTGATTGATGCATGTAAAATAGTAAGTAAACCGCTTATTTTGTATTTATATATCAGCTTTAGTATTATTATTAATTATTCTTCTGGAATTAGAAACAAAATATCTTGGCCTATGAAGAAGAAAAAGAGTGCATTCAGCTTGAATATTTGCGCAAACTAAATGAAATCGATAAAAAAATAGAAAAGGAAAATATCGAATTAACTAAAAATTCAAATAAATGGAAGGATGGAAATTCGGTTAATGAAGAAGATTTTTTACAAGATAATGGTGGTTCTAGTTATGATGCTTTATACGGAGATATTGGTGATTATGACAACGGCAATGATAACAATAATAATGATAATAACGATAATAACAGCAGTAATAATAACAACAATAATAACAATAATAGCAACGATGATAATAATACAATTTTTTCATCACCGGCAGTAGCAACAATATCACCACCGCCATCAACATATAATCTTCGCCCAAGACCCAATCCCCCTAGCTATAATTGTGGTCGTGTAACGAAAAAATGTCGAAAAAAAAATAAACCATCATCACAACCACGACCATCACCACGATCATCATCACGATCACCATTACGACCATCACCACGACAATCACCATTACCACCATCGTCACCACAACCATCAATGACATTTTCTCCACAACTACCACCATCGTCACCTCCTCCACAACTACTATCATCTCTTCCGCAACTAATACCTCCTCCACGATCACACAATACAGGTTCCTCCGATGAAGAGGTATACTCTACTATATACAGTATAAACAAATTAGGTAAAATATTAACCTTGCTTTATTTACCATATAGGAAGGACCACCTAGGAAAAAGCAATGTTTGAATTGTACCCTACATTGTCCGGAACAAGAAACTGCTTAATCCATTTTTTATATTTTTACAAT